CTTGATAGAGACTAAAGGCAACTTACAAGCTTTAAAGTGATGAACGTAGAGGCTAGCACGTGGTTTGGTAGTTGGGGCACTGGACTCCTATGTAGCTGACTACAGTTCGAGTCCCGGTGACTTGCTTTTTTATTCTCTCTCTCTTGTCAAATTAAAAAATAATAATAAATGAAATTAAATAAACAATTTTTTTTTAAAGATAAACCTAAAGGCACAGGTGGATAAACTTCACTACATTGAATTAAACTTCTAAGAATCAACAACGTAATTATTGCTAAGGACAAAAAGGAACAGCAGTTTCTACATCTATGACTGCAGTTGTATTTTATCATACAAAGAGCTCCTCATAGAAGAATTAAGCAGGTCAGTGTCCAGTGCTCCAGCAGTACACTGGGCTTAGCTTTGCACTGTATGAAAGTTGTCAATACCTGGAGATTATCTACTGGATAACCACCAAGGATCCTTTAACCCATTTTTCAGATAAGCTGATTGGCTCAAGAGTCCAAGTAACTGGACCCCAACCCTCAGCTCCAGTGTGGCCAGGGCTGTGATTCATTCACAGACATTTTGGTTGGATAGCCTTCCTGCCTGCCAAAACCAGTCTAGCTGGCCTGTCAAAGGATGGCCCAAGACAAGAAATACCAAGAAATACCAATTCAACCTCAGTGTTAAAGAACTACAGGACGAGGCCACTGCTTTCCTCTGGAATTGGCAAGGAAAACATTTCCAGAAACATACTCAAGTCTCAGCCCTGGCTCCGTTGAATGTTACGAAACAGGCAGTTTGTTTCTATTCTGGGCGGAAGGATAAGTTGTATGCAGAAGAGTTGAACAGTATATATCTAGAGCCTTAAGGAGAATGGACATAGCCTCTGGCCTTGTTGTTTCCCACCTCTAGGGATCCTGAGTGAGTTATCAGAAAAGTGGACAAAGTTTATGCCCAAAGGGGTTTCTCTGGGCATTATTTATGCTGTCTAAAAGTTATAAACACCTGGAAATGATCTACTGGAGTAGTTGATGATCTGGAAAAATTTTATTTACCAAAGACTGAAACAACCTTTTAGGACACTGATGGTGGGGGAAGAAAGCAAAACACAAAATTTTGATCAGACAGCCCTCAAAACAGTCTGATAATATCTAGCTATGTATGATAAAGTTGCAGAGTCCACTAAGATGCTCTTATCTGGGGCCAGCAGGTGGCATGGTGGTTAAGGTGCTGGATTCCCTCATGGTTGACTGTGGTTCAAGTCCCAAACCTGGCAGCTAGCTTTCTCACTCCCCCTACCTTCCCCCCACCCCACCCCCGCTCGCTCGCTCACTCTTGCTCTCTTCCTGGTGAGTGCACATGCCCCATAGTAAATTTTTAAAATAATAATAATTAAATAGGAAAAAAAAATGTATCTTACTGTCGGAGGATTTAGATTACTTTTTAATTTAATTTAGTTTAATTAATTAATTTGTTTATTTTAGATTTTTTGCTATAGGGCATGTGTGCATGCCAGAGAGAGACAGAAGGAAAGTGAGACATCATCCCCTGGGGGAATGGCCACACCCCAGTCTCTTCTCCATTCTTCTCAGGATTTTGGGCATGCATGCACACATGCCTGGCATGTTTTTCAAGCCACTGGGATTCTTACTATGAACCATAAAATTGGCCTTGTAGGATCCAGCACCTTAACCACCATGCTACCTGCTGGCCCCTACTTTTAATTTTGTATTTGCATTACCAAAAAATGTATACAGATTGTTTTAATTTAGAATTTTGAAAAAAAGGAAAAATGTTCTCTTAGACGGGAAAGAGCAGATAGGATGGACAAACACTGTAGGATTGCAGACACTCCACTGAGTGACCCCCAGCGGGGCAGACCTTGCTGGGTTTGTGGGCTGGGAGGACACCACATTCTCAGCCCTGAGAGTCCACCTCTATTCTCAGTGCCTAGGCGGGTGCTGTTGTTGGCTTTCCCCTCATTCAGGACACCGTATCCTCCAGACCATCTCTCCCTAGTTTCCTAACTAAAAGCTTCTATTCTTAACCTCCGTGTTTATCAGTGGGTGTTAGCAGAGTGATACTGCAGGTCCACGTAATGAGGTGTTCCAGAGCTGTGAAAGTGTGCTGATGGGACAAATGTCTGTTGACGTGAAAACCTTCAAAGACCCAGTAGTAAGATATAGTAATGTGAGGGGGCACTTACAAATAAAAGTTTGTAGAAAAAAAAGTATGAGTTTATTTTAGTGCCAAAATTTTTTTGAGACCTGCATATTTGTTTCATAATACTTATTTTTCACTGAATTTTTGATGATCTCTTAGATGTGGAAAACGATTATGATTACTTTTGAAAAGTTGCTGTTTTAAAGTTTTAGTTGTTCCATGAGTGAGGGAGGCAGAGACAGAAGAGAAAGAGAGGGAGAGAGACAGCATTCCCACAGGATCTTGATGCCGCCATCCCCCCTCAGCCTTAACCAGCCCCTGCTCATGGGCACACACATGCCCTGTGTATTCAGGGAGGTCTCCGATGTAAACAGAACCTTCCCACATGGGTCAGCCGTGCGGAGTGTTGCATTTTACATTTGTGTCACCATCTGGGCCCAAATAGAACTCTTTTTTTTTTTAAATAAGATAATTTAAACCTCCATGTGATTCAAATATAGCATCCATGCTTTATGGATATTTGAACACCACATATACACAGAATGACTTTTTTGTTTTTGATAGCACATTGTAGAGTGATAGTAGAACTTTGTTTTAATTCTTCTTTTTCTTTAGCATTCAGATTTTTATAATTAACCAATATGCCTATGATTTAAGAATATAGAAGGTTATTTCTCTTGAAGAGAAAAAAAGAAAAAATATATATATAGAGAGAGAAGCCAGTGAGAAGCCTCTCATTCCATAGGGCTTAGTTTAGTTCAGTTTTGTTTTCTTGAGATTTTTCTGGGAGAAGGTAAATGGGAGCATGAGTTTGGCTTCCCAGGGAGCAAGCATCTTTCTTCCCAGAGGTAGATGTGGGTGAGCTGATTCTTCTGGAATCTCCCCGTTGGGCTCCCTTCTGAGCACCCCGTTGTGAGTGCACTTCAAGCACAGTATGGACCAAATCTAAGCCTGAGTGAGCTGGGAAGGCCCTGGACTGAGCAGCCACTGGCTCGAAAGCATTCAAGCAGTAAAGAGGTGGTCTCAGTCCCAATCTCTATTGCACAGACCCCTGTGGACATCCACATGCCTTTTTAGGTCTCTTGGGCAGTGTGATGGGAAGAAGCTCCGCTCTGGAGCCAGGCAGCCTGTGTTCTAACCCCAGGGCAGCTCTGACCTACAGGGTAACGGCGAGTTTAAGGATAGCCACCCTTCCTGTGCCTCTGTTAACTTGTGAGATGGGCACTCAGCCTGGCCATGAGCTCTGTGTGTACATTGGCTGTTGTAGCCTGCGGCGCCACGTGCCAGCCAGACATCTCACATGGAGCAGTTTGTAGCGCTGGGAGGCTAATCGTGTGTGGGCTGGGACCAGCGGAAGTCAGTGAATACATTTGTGATGATGTCTAAAGGAGGCCTCAGAAAGTTTGTGGAAATTGAAATGAAAGTGTGAGTTTATTTTGATACAGGATTTTATTTTTGAGACCTATGTATAATTCATAATACAAATTTTTCATGAACTTTTTGAGGATCCCGCATATATTAATATTAGGTTTTAGTGTAGATCTCATACTTTTAATTGTTCAAAACCTTTCTGATTACAAGGGAAATTCGTATGAATGATCAACATTTCAAAGATTTCATAAATCTACAAGAGAAATTTGATATCTCCTCACTCTGAGTTAATCACTGCTTATCTTTTTTTAATAAGCTTATATCCATAAAAGGCATATTTTTTCCCCACATTTTAATGTATCTTTCATTGGCTTAGTTATGTTCCCATGACGTTGGCTTCTTTCCTTTTTTATTTCTTTTTAAAAATGATGGGCTTGGGCTTAATATTGTGTTTTAAGTTTTGTTTTTAATTGCCAGAGGGCATGTGTGCGTTCCAGTGTGCCCTACGCCCACCCCCGTTTGCCCCATATGGGGCACAGTTACACCAAGGTCCCTGCTCTTCTATTTCTCCAACCAGTCAGGATCCTGGGCACACACGCACATAATACTCAGTGTGTTATTCAAGCCACCAGGGCTGGGATTTGAACTGCAGCTGGCCACATGGGATCCAGCTCCCAGTCACAACAACACTAGCTTAAGCTATGCTACTGGGCCAACCTGCCATTTTAAGTTTTACATAAAATTTTTTTTTCTATTTTTTTTTTTTCCAGAGAGGTTTTTTTGCTATAGGGCACATGCGCTAGCCAGACTGACAGAGAGAGACAGAAAGTGAGAAATCACCCCCTAGGGGGGATGGCCACGCCACAATCCATTCTCCTCTCGGGATCTTGGGCACACACGCACACGCACCCGGTGTAAGTTTAAGCCACCGGGTCTGGGACTTGAAACGCAGTCGACTACATGGGAGTCCAGCGACATAGCCATTACGCTAACTGCTGGTCCCTTACGTAAAATTTTTATCTTCCCCAATGTGTAAAAATGTTCACTGTGCTCCTTATGCTGTGGAGGAAGATGTTTATGAAACTCTCTAGCTATTCCTGTCCCAGGTATCAAAATGCCCAACACCTCCTTACCAGTAGTTGCCATGGTATGTGTGCGCGTTCCCTGGAATGCCGATTCTTTATATGTATTGCCAGAGTCGAGCAATTTGGCAATAATTCTTTCTGCCTCTCTCTGTAGGGACAGCTATTTAACCGTAAAAACAGGGGTAAGCTTTTCTAAGTCCCTTGCCAAACATATTGCTCCTTTTCTAGATTTGTTTCCTTTTACAGTGTCTTTTAAGCACCTGTCATTTAAAACTAAAAAAGGAAGTCGGTGGAGAGGAAGTGAGGACCTGATGGAGGAAGGCAGTGCCGGGGGCCGGTGATTCACAAAGCGTCAAATGCTTCTTTTGAGCGAGCCTCTCTCTGTTGTCCTTTTAGGACAAGGTGGAGCAGACACCGCACAGTCCACAAGACCTGTCGGGCCCTGGGTTCCCAGCACAGTCTGACCGACTGGGGAATCACCAAGGTAAGGAATGCCCAGAGACGCCGGGCCGGGCCCCCCGACTGCAGCCTTCCGTAGTCCGAGGACTTCCTCTTCTAACAGGGTGTTTTTGACACTAATGGAATAAGGGCCTCCCCTTGCTCTTCTTTTTCCCCTAAGGACACCAGATTCAAAAACAGAGAAAGGCTTGTTGTTGTTTTTTTTAAAGAAAGGCAGACTGTCACATGCAGCACCTCATATGGATGTGTCTGGAGTTTTGGAAACTTGACTACCTCGTGTTCTCTTTTTTAAAAAATTTTATTTATTCATTCATTTTATTTTAATTTGACCAGAGAGAGACAGAGAGAGAGAGAAAGCGAGAGAGCAAGCCACCTGGTCCAGGACTAGAACCGTGGTCAGCCATGTGGGAGTGTCCAGTGCCTTAGCCATCATGTCACCTGCTGGTCCCAACTACCCTGTATTCTACAATGGACCTTGACAGCTTGTTTGGAGGTTCTAGCAGGGGAGCGCAGCTACTCATATACCCTTGACCGAAGAACGGCCCTCCTCTATCGGGGATGGTTGTCCTCTTCGACCAAGCGCACAGCTTTGGGAGGGATGCATACGGAGTGGTGAGGGAGGAAGGGAACACCTGCCTCGCCATCCAGATCAGCCAAATCAACCATGGCGATTCATGAGGGGACAGATGTTGCAGCCAGATCGCCCTCACATCCAGTAGTTGGTTCTGATATCTGTGTGTATGAGGGGACTTCAAAATGTCTGTGCCAGAAATGATAGGATTTAGAGCCAGTAGACATTAGAATAATCAGATTTTTTTTTTTTTTGGAGAGATTTTCACTGTAGGGCGCATGCGCTCGCCAGACAGAGAGAGACATAGAGACAGAAAGCGAGAAATCACCCCCCAGGGGGGATGGTCACGCCGCAATCCCTTCTCCTCCATTCTCCTCTCGGGATCTTGGGCACGCACGCACACGCGCCCGGTGTGAGTTTTAAGCCACCGGGTCCGGGACGCGAACCGCGGTTGACTACGTGGGAGTCCAGCGACATAGCCATTACGCTAACTGCTGGTTCCCATCAGATTGTTTTTTAATTGCTTATTGAGAAAGAGGATATGATTTGGAAAAATTAAAAGCTGGAATCTGACCATGAAGTCAAAGGGATGTTTTCTCAAGTATTAGGAGAGTCTTAAAAGCAGTGAGAATTTTCTATGGGGAGAATATAGATGGCAACAATATCGATGGCCGTGCATCTCAGAGTCACTGAAGGGGAAGATTTTCAATGTTCCCAACACAAGTAATGCCAAATGGTTGTGGTGACAGGCATGCTAATCACCGTGGTTTATTCATCACACATTGTATTCTTGCACTGAAAAAATCACAGTGTGTACCTCTGGCAGACATGTACAGTTATTATATGTTCATTTAAAAATATTAAAATAATTTTGAAAAAGTTTGTGGGCAAATGGAATTAAAGTATAAGTTTATTTTGGTGTGCAAAGTTTTTACCATCCATGCCCACTTTTTGGATAACACACGTTTCCTATAACCATTTTGAAGACCCCTTTGTACTTCCTTTTGACTAACACACTCCTGCAGAAAACCTCAGAGTCTGTTTTATGTGAGTTATCTCGAATTCAACGTAAAGACGACTAGGCGTCGCATCTTCTGAGCTCCTCTCAGGTAGACGTCTCGATTTTGGCATGTTCCCATTTTCAATTAAGTTGGTCTTGTGTGTACATGGCTCTTGGCGTTTCTCTTCCTTTGTCTGATTCTTTGTTTCTTCTGTTTAATTTCTTTCTGTAAAATTTTATTTATTTAATTTAATTTTGTTTTGTTTTGCTATAGGGCACATGTGTTCACCAGAGGGAAATAGAGAGAAAAAGAAAATGAGAAATCATCCTCCAGGGGGTGTGGCCTACTCCATTCTCCTCTTGGAATTCTGAGCATGCATGACATGGGCCTGGCATGTTTTTCAAGCCACTGGGTTTAGGACTCTAAGAGTCGGCCATGGAAGGTCTAGCCATAGCCTCCATGCCACCTGCCGGCCCCTTCCGTTTGAGTTCTGATGGGGTTGACGTGGCAGAGAAGGGAAAAGGGCTGAGTGGATAAGGCTTACCTAGTAAATTAGCCCAATAAATGAATCATTTGATATAGGAGGGGGCCGTCTGATCATTAGCAGAAGGGAAAAGCGCACATGGCTCATTGCTTGGGCTGTTCGAGAGTTTAAGTGCAAGAAATGAAAGAGTTCAGAGCTGGTAGGCTTTCAAATGATCAGATTTTTTTTTTCTTGCACTGTTTAATGAAAAAGAACAAAAATTAAAAGCTGGGTTGGGCCATGAAGTTTTTCAGGTATTAGAAGATCAATAAAAGCAGTCAGGATTTTCCATGGCAAGCATAACTTTAGGGTCATATTTTAGAAAGTCATAAAATAAGATGACACAGGGGCAAAAAATACGTTAGTATTCTCTTTGAAACTTGGGAAAATTTTAATTATTACATTGTATGATCTTAATTTAAACTGAAATAATTTAAATGTTGGTATTAATGCTCATATCAAAATCTGTTAATATTTTAATCAGAAAATTATAAAATAGTTACATTGAAAGAACTTTTTTTTTTTTTTTTTTGAGAAATTTTCACTACAGGGCGCGTGCGCTCGCCAGACAGACAGAAAGAGACATAGAGACAGAAAGCGAGAAATCACCCCCCGGGGGGATGGACACACCACAATCCCTTCTCCTCCATTCTCCTCTCGGGATCTTGGGCATGCACGCACACGCGCCTTGCGTGAGTTTTAAGCCACCGGGTCCGGGATGTGAACCGCGGTCGACTACGTGGGAGTCCAGTGACATAGCCATTACGCTAACTGCTGGTTCCCTACACTGAAAGAACTTTAAAAAGCTATCTCTCATCCTTTGTTTTCAACTTGTGCACTCACATATTCCATAGACATCAAACCTACCAGGCAGAGCCCTTAGGGAAAATTGTGGCTCATGGAATGAGCTTTGTGTAGAAGAGAATGAATTCTCCTTTCTGGTGTAGGTTATGCAGCAGACGGTTGAAGCTAGACATCTGACATGTCCCAGCACCTCAAACAGGGCTTGGAGGAATGAATGAACATGTCACCATGTTGGCCCCAACTTCTGTCCAATGGCCTGAGGAGTTCCCACCTTTAAACATGACCATGCCATTGACCACCTCTCAGTCATTCCACACACATAGCCTGTAAACTAGGAAACTACAGGGGCTCAGGCTGCTCAGGACAGGCATTTCCATAGAGCAGTGGGCACAGTCTATGCCCACTGGGCAGCTCAGGCCCTAGAAGCATTAATGGCTGAGGTCACTCCCATCAGTGGCAAGGAGCAGACCCAGACCCAGGTCCAGCCAGGCACTGGGATGAGCTCCCTCGTGTTTGGAAGACTCTCAAGTGCATGGCCTGGGAGGGACCACAGTATGTGGGAACTCAAGGCCAGGCAACTGGGCAGAGCCCACACTCTTGCAGCCAAACTGAACCACACATTCTTGCAGCAGGTGCAGTGACTTGGGTGGGAACTCCACATCTTCCATGAGGCAGCAGCTCTGGAGCACACTGTCTCGACCCTGGATAGGGAGTGGGGAACAGGAAGGATGATGGAGAAGAACAAAATCACCCCAGTGAGTCTGCAGACCAATGATTCCAAACATGGGAAGCAATTCTGTGCTGAGAAATACAGCTAATGATATCAGTCAGGGACCAATTTAGAACAGATACAATAAAAATAAGTCCGACAAAGGCTTTGCAATGGGTGAGTTTTGTTTAAAGGTTATTTATTCCTTCCATGGAAGACAGAGAGGGGGGGGCATCCTCAAGAGGGTCTTCACACCATGATCCACCCCATCCTCAGCCGGTCTAGACTATAGGCACATCTGAAAGTTTACCTGATTATGAATTTTTAATATTAGGTACAAACAAAATGTTTGCTCTAATTACTGAAAGAAAATGCAGATAATTTGTAGTTTCTAACTTCAGAGAAAAAGTTACCAAAAAATTTAAAAAATACAGCATCAAGTAGAAAAGGCAGAAAAAACAAGGTGTTGCAGAAAAAAAGGAAGTTATATTACACAATAAGACAGCAGGAGTGATTTCAGGTAAATCCATGAGAGTATTAATAAGCCAGAATTAATATTGGGTCATCAGAAAAGTCATGATGCATTTTTGCATAGAAAAACAGAAAACTATGCCGTGACTTTTCTGACAACCCAGTAGCTATGTATAGAATACTCACGTAAAAGGCAAACATCTTGATTCTTTCCTAAATCTATGCAACTTTTTGTAAAATTCAACATTTATGGGAAGCTGCACTAAATTTTCAGCAATCTATTGCAAGCAAGCCACATTCTTTGACCCAGTGCGATTAAGTTAGACACTGACAAGAAAGATTAAAACACAGACACACACACACACACACACACACACACACAGAAATGTGTGTGGAAAGTTGAAAACACATCCTTATTTTCTTGTGGGTAACAGGAAATCATGATGGAAATGTCAGCTGTTAAAGGTGAATGAGAATGAATACTGCAGGCCGTGCTACAAAAGTGCTATGTCAGACTGAACTTCTAAGCCTAAAAAAGATGAAAAATTGAAATGGGAAAAATGAAAATCACATTAACTCTAAGGAATATACAAGGAAGTGATTAAAACAATGAACATCAGACAGTACTGAAAACAGGAATTGGCCAGCAGTGGCATGGTGGTTGGAGTGCTGGACTCCCATGTGGCTGACTGCTGTTCAAGTCCTGGACCTGGTGGCTTGCTTTCTCACTTTCCCCTTCTCTCTCTGGTCAAATTAAAATAATAATAATGAATACAATGAAATAATTCTTAAAAGAAAACAACCAGGAATCAATAGACAGAAGCCAAGTCAAAAACCAGTCACAAAGGAGGGAAAGGGTATGTGAGAAAACCACATTAGGAGCACAAGAGAACGGTGGGTGGGGCCAGCAGGTGGCATGGCGGCTAAGGCAGAGGATCCCGCATGG